GGTTTGGGAGATCTGAGAGGTGAACTCAGGACCATTGTCTGACTGAATTCCAAACTGGAGAATAATTTCCCTGAGGAGGATGTCAGGGACTGTCTAGGCTTTTTGTTAGTGGCTGGAAACGCTTTGCCCACCCCAAGAAGGTATCAGCTAGTACCAGGAGACTTGTCTGACTGTGGGCATGTGGGTAAAGTCAAGCTGCCAGTCAGTCCCTGGGAGAGAGCCCCTGGCCTGGTGCGTGGGAAAAGGGGGGATTACGATACCTGGACTTAGAGTCTGACATCTGACAGGTTTTACAAGAGGCAGTGATAGTTCTTAAGAAACGTAAGTCCTCAGGGGTGGGCTGGAGATGAGCCTTGACAAAATGAGACAGAGCCTGACTGTTGGGACGAAAGGACCGGTGTCCCTAGGACAGGGTTTTTGAGTGTCAGGAGGTGACTGAGGATGTGGGTTGTAGTGTATGAACTCGCTGTGGTGGGTGAGGTGAGTTGGGTTTTCATCAGCCCGGCTGTTGCCCCTAGAGATAATGGAGCTGACGAGACAGCTGTGAATATTCTCTGTAGCTTTGGGTAGTGGGAGGCCTTTAGCATGGCCATAATCTGACCTGAGTTATTATGGAGCCTCCTTTAGTAGTAAGAAGCCCTACTCTTTCCAGATAGCAGAATGGGGCCGGAGGATGTGAAAGGCGTACTCTGAGTCTGTGTAAACATCTAGGGATTGTCCCTGTGCTTACTGGAAGGCACGGGTGAGGGCTCTTAGTTCAGCCTGCTGGTTAGTAGTGTGGGCGGGGAGTGCCCGTACCTCCAGCAGCCTGGTGTCTGACACTATGCCGTAGCCTGCTCTGCGGGTCCCCCCATGTAAAAAGGAGCTGCCCTGTGTACCAGGTAAGGGCGCCCTCCTGTACGTGTGAGGGATGGGGCAGTAGCTCTCTAAGGTTTCAGTGCAGGAGTGAGATGGGGAAGAGTCAGTATTGGGTTGAAGTAGAGCAAGGAGAGAGTAAGGGAATCCAGGGGTGTAGGAGCCAGCTATTCCTAGAAACGATGAGATGTCCTCTTTAGCAGAAGGGACTACAAGAGACTAGGTTCTTTCTGTCTAACGTAATAGCTTTGTGAGTTGAGGTGATGGTTAGTCCCAAGTAGGTGACCTCAAGAGTGGACAGTTGGACCTTGGAAGGTGAGACTCTATAACCCCTGTTGGACAGGAAATTTAAAAAAGCAGAGGTGTCAGTCTGGCTAACTTCTAAGGATGGGCTGCAAAGTAAAATATCTACATACTGTATAAGCTTCGATTGGGGTGGGGAGAAAGAGTAGGTCAGAAACCAGAGCCTGGCCTAATAGGTATGGGCTGGCCTGGAATCCCTGAGGTAGTATAGTCCGGGTGAGCTGTGTGGAGGTGTCAGGGTCAGGCCAGGTGAAAGCAAAGATAGTTTGAGACTGAGTGTCGAGAGGTATAGAGAAAAAGGCCTCCTTAAAATCCAGAACTGAGCCGGGCGGTGGTGGCGCACACCTTTAATCCCAGCACTCGGGAGGCAGAGGCAGGCGGATCTCTGTGAGTTCAAGGCCAGGCTGGACCGACAGCCTCCAAAACAGAAACCCTGTCTGGTAAAACAAAACAAAACAATCCAGAACTGAGAAACGCGAGGTTCCTGAGGGGATAGTGGAGAGAAGTGTGTTAAGGGTTAGGTACCACTGGATGGAGGGGGACCGCTGCAGAGTGAGTGAGCCAGAGGTCTAGGCGGTAGGTCCCATTAGGCTTCCTTCAGCATAGGGTGTTAAAGGGAGAGGATGTAGGAGGAAGTGGTTTTTCCTAGGTCAGAGATGACGGCTTGAGTCCCCCAACGCTCTGGAGTAGGAGTGGGTGCTGGACTTGGGTGATGGACTGTGAAGTGTCCCGTAACGGAATGACAACGGGGATGGTGTCTAGCCACAGAAGGGTTTGGGTGTCCCAGACTTGGGGTCCACCTGACAGGCTGGCAAAGGAAATGATGACATGCTGGAACCTGAAGGAGAGGTGGCTGGGAGGAGAGGAGGCTGGCGAGTCTGGAGTTAGGCAAATGGGAGCAAAAGAAATGGAGGCTCCTGCCGGGCGGTGGTGGCGCACGCCTTTAATCCCAGCACTCGGGAGGCAGAGGCAGACGGATCTCTGTGAGTTCGAGGCCAGCCTGGTCTACAGTGCGAGTTTCAGGACAGCCTCCAAAGCAATACAGAGAAACCCTGTCTTGAAAAACCAAAAAGGAAAAAAAAAAAAAAAAAAAGAAATGGAGGCTCCTACTTTGGCTAAAAGATCCCTTCCCAGAAAGGGTGCAGGACAGGCAGATATAACCAGAAATGAATGAGTGAGTGAGGGGAATTGTCCAGAAAATGCAACTGAGTCAGTGGGATGTCATGAGGTCCGTAATAAGGCTGTCCCCACCCCGGAACAAGAGGAGACGAGGAGAGGTGGGTCCCCAGAACTCCCGCAGGACTGAGTATGTGGCACCGGTGTCCAAGAGGAAGGATATGGATGGCCCCAATACCTTGATGTCCGCCCGGGCTCTGTCAGAGATGACAGTGGTCAGGTCAAGAGAGCCTAGGGCTCCTTCATTTGCCATTGTCCATGTCTAGAGCCAGGAAGTCAGCCAGGGCTGTCTGTGTCTGATGTCCTGCCACTAGGGACATGGGGACAGTCCACGGACCAGTGCCCCTCTTCCTGGCATTTTGGACACGGTTTGAATGGCGCGTGGGGATTAGGGCAAGCTCAAGCCCGATGCCCATCCTGACCACATTTAAAACACAGACGCTGTGGTCCTCGAGCCTCAGAGGGCAAGGGAACCCTCGGGCAGACTCCGAGGCTGGTCAGATGGCCTTGGCTGGCATTTGGTATTTGTGTTTAAGGGCTTTCTCGTCTCTCTCATGGTACACCTTAAAAGCCACCCTTAAGACATCCTCTCTCCAGACGCCTAAACTCAACCCTAATGTCAGGGGAGTTCTGGGAAAAAATGTGGTAAGTTGTCTTCCCTCTGGGTTCTCAGGTTCTAGGATAGTATACTGTAAGGTCTGTGTAAGGCAATTTCCTGAACTATCTCCAGAAGCTTATCACAGTTCACTGAGGGCAGCCTTATGATCTCTAGCTAGAATGCCCCCTGGGGTATTGTAATCCCAATGGGGCTCTCAATCTGGGATGGCCCCTGCCCCAGGAGGGTGAGTTGCATGGGCTCTAGCCTGCTCCCAAACTCATCTGCTCTCCTCAGGTAGTAGGTTGTTGGTCAAAATCGTGTATATATCATGAAAGGTGAGGCTATACGATTAGGCGATTGATATATTGGTGCAAGACTTGGCGGCTGGAGCAGCCCACTGCAGGAGGGGGAGAAGGGGCAGGAGGGGGAGAAGGGGCAGGAGGGGGAGAAGGGGCAGGAGGGGTAGGTAGGTGTTGAGGATGAACCACCAAAGTCGAGCGCACTGCCTTGCCTACGGACGGGTACATGGGAAGTGGCCGTCAGTTCTGGATCAGGGTCCCCGAGTTTCTCCAGCTGCCTACCAGCTCCTCCTGGCTGGCTCTCATAAAAACTCGCTTTACAAAATGATTTTAAAGTGTGCCAGTGTTTTCTTTGTGCACTCAAGGAGCCTAGGAGAACATCAGACCCCGAAACTGGAGCTCCAAACGGTGTGGGTCTTCTGCAAGAGCAGCCAGAGCTCTCGGTGCCGAGCCATCGCTCCAGCTTCTGGATGCATCTGTGAGATTCAATAGGTGACCTTTGCCTTTGGTTACCTAGGGTTCTCCTCAGATTCCTCTCCCTGGAAAGCGCGTTTCCCGGGTCCCCTTGTCCTATGGTCTTCCCATGGTCTCTGTGTGTGACCTATGTGGTAGTTACAGTTGAGCCTGCCGACTCCTTAATTCCTCGTGTCTCTTAAATGTCCAACTATGAAAACTAATGCCAGCTTACAGGAGGCTCTACAGTGCGTTTTCACAGAACTCTGTGCCCCCAAAGCATCTAAGCGTCCTTCCTACAGAGGTCCATGCTGGGTGCTGGGAGCCACACCAGAGTACATCTAGCAGGCCGAGCCCTGTGACAGGCCAGTAGCCTGCAGGACACGAGACTTTATCTAAGCTTGGTCGTAGCTTAGGCTTAACCTGTCAGTACTGCTCTACACGTGGCTCGTTTACCATCTGTTGGACCCCTCCACATCTGGCGGGTCAATCTCCTCCTCTGATGCTTGTCCAGAGTTCTTCTCTCTCCCCTGGGAGTCCTGTCTTTCTCTCCTGCTTTAGCTATTGGCCAGCCAGCTTTTTTGTTTTGTTTTTAGAGACAGGTTTCTCTTTGTAGCCCTGGCTGTCCTTGAACTCAAGAGACCCACCCCATTACCTGTTCCTTGGTGACAGCTACTTTTACTGTGGCCCATAGATCCGAATTGGCTAGGAATACCACCTCCTTGCATGAAGTCCTTCCTGATTTGTTTCAAGGGACTCCCAAGAGCTTGTGAACTGTTCTCAGTAACATTCCAGTTTAGGCTGGTTCTCAATGGACCTGGACTAGAGATTTATCTGTCATACACTAAAGGCTTTTGGAGGGAATGGTCTGTCCTAATGGACACCAGCTTAGGGTAAGCACTGCCTGGGAATCCACCCACCAGGCCACCTGTCCTCAGCCCCTGGATGCCTATGGGTGGACACCTCGCTTGTAACTGGGCCAAGGACTTAGAAACGTGATTAGAATGGGGTCAGACAGGAGTGAGAACCAGAAGCCCTGCAGACTTGCATTGTTTCTCACCTGATCTGAACTAACCCAGTCCACGGACATCTCTGGTCTCCTAAGTGCTTGATTTTATATTAGGTTGAGGGTCAGGGTTGGCTGGAGTGTGGGGTCTCTAGGGTAGCAGGAGGAAGAGCACAGGCAGGCTTAGCCTGGCAGGGTTAGGCAAGCCCGTGTCCTAAGGAAAGGCACTCATTGTCCTGGCCAGGAGGCAGCACCCTTTAAATCTGTTAGGTTTGTTTGTGATTTTCCTTTCTAGGTAAGTAACAATGGACACAAATAAAAATATTTTATTATAGAAAAAGCATCCCATATACAGGATTCCGTAAACACTGGTAGGTGAACGAGTGCAACTTCAAAAGTAAATACAAAGTCAGAGGCAAAACCTACAAGCATTTTGCCTTTAGGAGAAAATGTAATTTTCCAGAAATGATCCCAGCCAGACACAAAAGTGGCTCTGCCTCCTGGGAAGGCGGCAGCATCCTGCTGAGCTCCCTGAACCCACCTCAGAAATTGCAGATGTCAACAAGTGGCTGCTAGTGTGCCACTAAAACTTCTGACGTAAAAACAAGCTGAGTGACACAGCTGAAGCCTGTGCTCTGAGCACTCGCTCTCCTACAACACACCGTCTGGCTGAGAGGATGTCCCTTCCGTGCTGCTTCCAGTGTCTCTCAGGCCTGGACACTCTGAGGTGCTGGTGAAGTAACTATGGCTCCTGTACCCACCCAGTCTCTTCTCTTCCATCTTCCAATTTTGCCGTCACCTTTTTCCACCACGGAGAGCCGTGTAATTCCTGACATTCTCATACTGTGTCCCTGTTCTGTGTAGCAGGTGTTTCTCACAGCTACACAGGCTACAAGGACACACTAAGCGGTCAAGCCTCAGGTGCAAGCTATCCTCCGTCTTGCTGAGACTGAGTAGTCAGTCACCTTTCTCACAAGACCGTCTCTGTGCACACAGCCTGACCTACTTATTCAGGCACTCACAAGAGCTACATCAGCTCCAAATCCATCTCTTTACTAGAGAAGTCCTCTCCTTCATACAGCCAGTAACCAACTCCAAAGACTACTGTACCCCAGCCTTGGTCCTGCGAGGAGCACTAAAGAACGTCCCAACTCTGGGGACAGCAGGCAAGACTGAGGTGAGCACCAGACTACAGGACTGACATGTCGGAGAGGGTGGGGCTGAGGGTCGAAAGAAGCCTCCTCTCCACACGGCCTGTGAGTGTCCCCGGCCATCCTTTGGTCCCCACCACCCAATGCCACTGATGAGCCTTCAGACTGCTGGAGCCACAGCACGATGACTTATTCGGGGTATGCAGTAAGACCTAGTTCATAAAGGCAGCCAACCATCTCGGAAGGACAAAGAAAGGACGCCCACACCTAACACTGCACACGGACACGCACTCCCTCCAGTGGCCGCCAATGGATCAGCACAGGGAAAGCACCACTGAACCAGGGCCTGGGCTACTCAGCCACCGGTGAGCAGACAGCACCAACAAAGTCAAGGCCAAACCTGGCCTCAAACACGAGCTGGTAAACTTCCCAGAAGTAACTTCTGGACACGAATAACCTTAATCCGCATTCTGGATGCTGGCCTTCAGCCTCACCGAAACACCAATGATCACCACAAAAACCAGGGTTGCTTAGTTACACCTGTTTCCTGAGCAAGGAAGATCTCACACCAGCTCCCACTGTGATGCTGCCATGACAAAGAAAACATCCTAAGAGCAGCCTTGTTCTCCCCAAGCCATCAAGCAGTATACCATACAGCGCCCAATGGGAGCAGATGTCAAGAAACAACCGTGTTCTTTTAAGGAACTTGAAGGAAACAGTTGACATGCACCACCCACGATGGGGAAATGTTGAGGGTAAAGTAATCCCAGATACGGCTGTCTGGCTCTTGACCCTGCAGACAGCCATGGAAGCGTCAGAGGAAGGTGCTGACCACTGATCTGGATTACCATCTACCACACATGGCAGGGTGAACAGATCAAATGGCAAGGCCTGGACCTGACCCTGGGGAGGACAGCCGATTTTCTGAACATGCTCCAGAGCTAATGGGCTACTAAAAAGAGAGAGAGAAGAAACACAGACGTGAGTGTACTGGTGTGAACTCTGGGTAACAATTCCATCCACTCACCACAACCCTCCTCTGGAGCTCACAGGAAGGTACCAAGCGAACCTCAAGGTACCAAGTCTCCTGCCACACCCACAGCACACGCTGTCCCCGCCTGATCTGGAGCCACTCTGCCACCTGGTTTCCATTTCACTTCCAAATGAAGCATCAGCTTGGGCTCTGAATCCCCAGACAGAGGCCGTACTACCACTGCGGGCGGGCCACGCTCTTCCTGCTGCGGACCCTGTCTCGTATGCCGGACTGTTCCTGTGCTAATGCAGAGCTAAGTCTGAGCGCGTGGGGACTCCTTTCAGACACTCTGCCCAGATGACACCTGGGACCTGCCTTCCACCTGCCCTGGCACACCTGCCCCGGCACAGTCTCCTTTGATGTTTGGTCCTTTCACTATTAAGCAACTTGTCTGGTGCAAAGCCCACCCACTGGGTGTAAAGGATGTGACTACTGTGCCAACCACGAGGCGACAGGAGTCTACTTATCCTCCTACAGTTATACAAGACGCAACCAACAACATCAGACCCAAAGTGTTTACCACAGCCGGCTAAACTGGTCGTCTAATTACCAGAGGGCTGCTTCACCCGGCCAGAGGCAGACTCAGAAAAGGGCGTGATAACAGAGGGGACAGAAATAGATGGGGGGAAGCATCTCCTTACGGTGAGAAACCACAGGAGGACAGGGAGGATGGGTTGAGGATACCCACACGAAGAGCTCTGGCGAGGGAGGACAGACCTGATTGTCCCTAATCTTGGAAGTCATTAGGAGCCATCTGAGAGAGGGGGGCATTTAACCGGTCGAGTTCGTCCACTTGCGGAGGGTGGTGCATCACTATCTCCTGGTCTTCTAAGACGTCCTCTCCAGCAGCCACCAAATTAGTGAGGGATTTGCTGCGAACACACTGGAAATCCACATGGCGACTCTTTCCTTCTTCCTTCTCCCATGACATCTGGATAAAGGGGCGCTGCACGTAATTGTAGATGACTTCAGACCTCCCGCCAGGCCTCCTCTTAATCTTTTCTTTGCAGGTAGGGTAGCCTGCAACGGGAAAACACTGAGCTCACAACCCGGGCAGACTGTGCTGGCTCCGGCATCTACTTCCAAATGCAAAGACGCAAAAGCTCTGTGGCAGGTGATCAGTGCTCCCGAGGCCCCCGTGCCCTGGAAGGGAGTGGTCTATGGGAAGTCACAAGGATTTCCCCCTTTTAAATTTAGAAAAGGGGAGAGAAACCACTTACTAACTTCAAGAGCCTTTAGTTGTTGGGAACAATACCACAGGACAAAAGCCCAGCAGGGCACAGATAGAAGACGTGGAGAAGTGAAAAAATGCCATGTGCACTGTTTACTGAAGAGAAAGCCCAAAGGGGCTCATGAAGCCCATCCAAAGACTCCGCTGACTTCCAATTCCCGGTCAGACACATGCAGTGATGAGCTCTGTGGGCAGTGGGGGCACAGCACCTGGGCTGCAAACAGTCCTGACCCAAGGCGTCCAGACACCCCTCAAAGGGGAGACAGCCTCAGTTTCTACCTTATTTACTTCAAGAAAAGACAGAGTCTTAATGTGTAGCCTTGGCTGGCCTGGAAACTGCTACACAGACCAAGCTGGCCTAAAGCTCACAGAAACTCTCCTGCCTCGCCCCCCCGAGTGCTGGGATTGTCCCACTATAGCCGGGAAATCTTAAATTCTTAAGCTGCTTTTCAAAAGGGTAATTCTAGATCCCAGAAACATGTTCTTGCTCAGGGTTACCCAGGCACCTTCTGAAGTCACCCCACGGGACCCCACTGCTTCACCTGGAGAAAAGGCGAATGCAGGCCTCAGGACCACAGCAGCAAAGCAGGGCGGCCGTCAGTGCATGCAAATGTGAACTGTTCTCAAACCAGTGTGAACCAGGTCAGAGGCACAAGCTATGCCCAAAGACCCACCCTATCCCTAGGGTTTCTCTGTCTGTCCTGAATCTCAGACCCGCCCGCCCTGCCTCGACTTTGGAATACCTTCAATTCCAATGCGGATGTTCTTCAGACCCCGCTCCTTTAGCACTGTCTTAGCAACATCCCGATTCTCGATATATTTGAAGAATCTGTAGAGCTTGGAGCTGTAAAGTACTGACACAAAACAAAACACAAAAGCTGGGGTTAGTCACGGGAATGAGAGGTGACCCACGATGGCATCCAGCCTGTACCACCCTCCCCCCACCCCCTGAGCCCTGGGCTTGCTGGCTTGTGGCGAGTCTGCTGGGGTGAGCTTTGGAGCACTGCTTGAGAGGCAGGGAAGCAGCGCGGAGCTCACACACGGCCCTTTTTTTTTTTTTTTTAAACGTTTTTGGAGACAGGGTCTAACTTGTAGCCCTAGTTGTCCTGGCAGGCGGATCTCTGTGAGTTCAGACCAGCCTTGTCTACAAGAGCTAGTTCCGGGACAGCCTCCAAAGCCACAGAGAAACCCTGGTGGGGGTGGGGGTGTGTGACTATGCATCGTTTATGTATACCGCTTCAATGTCCTACAAGGCAAGCGAATCACGGCCCATTCATGAATGGAGTGTTAAGCAGCCCAAAGAGGACTGCACAGCTTTTTACACAGAGAACACAAGCAGAAGGACACGGAGGTGGAGCAGGCTTAAAGCAGCTGAGTGCACACCCTTCCTTCTACGATGCACGTGGTGAATGTGTCAGCCTGAGCATGCGTGTGGAGGGCGGGATAACCTGGGCCCTCGGTCTTTGCCTGCCAGCTTGGCTGAAATAGGGTCTCTGCTTTGCTGGCCCATGCGGTTGGTCCCAGGGATTCTGTCCCTCCTCCCACGTCACTAGAGGAGCTCTGGGATGATGGACGTGTGCTATCACATCCAGCTTTGCTATGGGTGCTGGGCATCTGAACCTGGGGCCTCACAATTGCATGCCAAGTGCTTTTCTCACTGAGCCAACTTCCAAGCCCACTTTTTAAGTTTTGAATTAACACCAAGTCAATGAGATTTAAATGAACTGAGAATTTACCCCCCCCCCAACTTGAGAATCTGACAATGCCATCCAACGGAGAGCCGTCACAGCAGAGGTCAGGCCTGCGTTGCTGCCGGCTGCCCTCCAGGCCCTCTGCCATTACACGCTGTGGTGGGGTCTGCAGAGCCTGGGGTCTGAGTGCTAACCCAGGCAGCTGTTTCTCTAGCTGAAAGCATGCACCCTACAGGGCCCCTACTTTGGGAGTACTCCTCCCCCATGGGCGGGGGGTGGTCTTCATCCCAGTCCACAGAGTCCTCATCGGTCAGCACGACGATGTGGCACTCCCGTTCCCCTTTCTTGGCACAGCCCACCATGATGGGCAGAATCAGCTCCTCGAGGTAGCGGTCAAATTGCTTGTGGGCACCATCGTTGGACAGCTCATGGAGTAAAGCACCTGGGAGAGAAGGCAGCTGAGTCCACTTCCTGTCCACAAACACACTGCAGCCATCAGAGGATGCACACATGAGGCATTCTGAGACAGAGCTCCTGCCCCAAGGTGAACTGGCTTTACACTTCGCTGTTTGGCTTTACCACGGCCCTTGCCTCACTGACACTTGCCACCAAGAGGGAGGCAGCAGTGACCGGTAGGCAAACTTGCTCGTCACGCTGCCTGCAGTCACAGGCGGCCTCACCACGCCAGTTTACCTGGCGCCGAGAATGAAGCCCAGGGCCTCGCAGTGCAGGTGAGCTTCTACCACTCAGCGTCCCAGCTTTCCTTTGAGACAGGGGTCACTCTGTAGCCCGTGCTGGCCCTGAACTTAGGTGATCCTCTTGCCTCAGCCCTCTGAGTGCTGGAGCGGTGCTTGTGAGCCACGCCCCCTGCTGATTTCTTTCAGTTACTCCACTTCCCCACAACCCCTTAGTGCAAGGGAAGCCACCGGAAGTAGGCAGATGTCCACTCACCCCACACTCCCGCACTCAAGCACAGGCAAGTGCGCTGGCTGAGCGTAGCTGATGGCTCCATACTCACTCAGATCCTGACACCGGATAGTGTTGAAGTCAAAGTTGATGCAGAGATAGTCACACGTGTCTCTCAGATCTGGGATAGAGATGCCATCAGGACAGTTGATGATGCCCGTTTTGTAATAATCCTGTGGACAGATTGGGAAGAAGAAATGGAGGCAAAGAAATGCACAGGAATGGCTCCTGTAACCCCAGGAAGTCCTGACGCTATGGAGGTGGTGGGATCCGGGAGTCAACCGGTTGAGCACTGGAAGACAAGCTCAGGTTTAACCACAGCTTGACAACTGACTGAGCTCACAGAAGCAAGGAATTAGAAGTTACAGGCAGGAAAAATAAAGAGGGAAAGGCAACTGGAAACCAGAGACCCGAGTGAGTCAGTCAACTGCGGTGCACTTCAGAGTACGCCGTGCAGCACGCATGCCATGGGGACAGAAAAGGAGACGGCACATACCAGCACCGTGCGGAACACAGTGGCACTGATCCCTTCCGCAATCTCATACTCCCCCTTTTCATTGGGCCTCGTGAAGTTGTATTCTCTTCCTGGTCCAAACATTCTGAAAGAGACCAGCAACAGTGTCACCTTCTCCAGCAGGACTCTGCAGAGGCGGCTTTTCTTGCCCTCTTACACCCTACTCTCTGCAGCATACTTTAGAAGCATAGCATTGGGTTGGGTGGTGGCGCATGCCTTTAATCCCAGCACTCGTGAGGCAGGTGGATCTCTGTGAGTTCGAGGCCAGCCTGGTCTACAGAGCGAGTTCCAGGACAGACTCCAAAGCCACAGAGAAACCCTGTCTCGAAAAGCAAAAAAACAAAAAACAACAGAGCATAGCACTGGGACCCGATGCCTCTCAGATGAATGCACGCCTCAGGAAACTCCTTCAGACAAAGAAGGGAAAGAAGCAAGCGAGGTCTGAGACGGCAGACACGGCACAGTGGCAACGGCAGAGGAAGCTGTGCAGGGCTCTGCAGTGTGGGTGGAGCCTTGCATGCCCTCCCTGCTGCCCAAGAGCTTATGGTCACCCAACTGATGCTGCCTGTGCATCATCTCCCCTCCTCCTGCTCTTCAGCACCATCCACCCGTGGGGTCGGTTTGCATTCCCTCCCCTCTGGAGCCACCCCTCCACCAGGCTGCTCTAGCCATGGGGTTCAGACAGGTGAGGTTCCTCTGCACCCTGACATTGCCACGAGGAGGCCTGCTCTCACTATGAACATCCCCAGCAGCCACAGAGTAGCTCACAACCATCTAACTCCAGTCCCAGGGATCTGACGCCCTCTCCCGGCCCCTGCAGGCACTGAAATATGTGTACTGCACCAACACACCTGCAGACAAAACACCTCCATGTGTTAAATAATAAATTGGCAATAGGCCAGGGCTTTAGCTCAGTAAAGTACTCATCTCCTATGCCTGACAGCCTAGGTTCCCAGTTCAATCTCCAACACTGCTAACCGCCCCCCCCAAAAAAACAAGACCCCCAATTAGAAATGGGTGGGAGGCAAATGTTTTTTCTAAAATGGTGTCACTGTTCTTGCTGACCATCTCTTATATTTTTGGTTGTGAGCCTAGCCTTTAACGGCTGAGCCATCTCTCCAGCCCCTTGCTGACCATCTCTAATACTGCTTCGCCCAGAAGGAAAACAACACGACTCAGACTCTCTAAGCGTCCCCAACCTGTGCAACTCAGAGCAAGTCAGTGTGTTTAAAGAGGGTGGGGCATGGTTCAGCAGCTCCCGTGATCCTTAGCAGAGAAATACTCCTCGTCTGGCTATATAAGTGCAACCATCAAGGCATCAGGCTCCCACTACTCTCCTAGCCTTCCCCACAGAAGCCTGAAAGGAAAGTCAGCCGAGGCTGGGCATCTACTGGTACACAGAAGAGAGCTACCATTACCTTCCCAGCATGGTATCCGGATGAGCAGTGAAAATCTGAGGGTTGACAACAAAACGTGTGCCATCTACAAGAAGTGTCACTTTCTCTGGGGCCTGGGAGTGAGAGCTACCTCCAAAGCCTACGCCGCTGTTTCCAAATCTCTCTGAAACGATGAAGGGCTCATGGCTCCGCTTGCTTCCACTCTGGAAGCATGAGCCCTTGCTGTCTTCAGGGAGCGGCATTATGTAAGGATACTGATGGCGCGCTGGCTGAGAGGCATAGTCAGGTGCAAATCTGCAAGATCAGACAAGTACCACGTAACTAAAGAGCAAACATCTAAAGAAAACGAAGCCATGTCTGTTTCTGAAACAAACCAAAACCTAAAGCCACGGGTGTTCACAGCCAAAACACTAGAGAAAATTAAAAACAAAAGCACACATTCTAAAGTCAGAGGCAGGCAGACCTCTGAATCTGAGGCTAGCCTGGTCTACAGAGCAATTTCCAGGACAGCCTGGACTGCAAATAAACCCTGTCTTGAAAAGCCAAAACCACCAACCACCCCTCACAAAACTAGCTGTGTAACTCTTTCCACATGTGTGGCACGGATGCACAGAGATTAAAGGGAGGAACAGCTACACTTTACAGGGCCTGTGAGTCTAGAGTAAACAGAAAGCAGAGAGCAGAGACTGGACCAAAGAGCAGGGCTTGCACGGTGGCCCGGCAGTCTCCTGCATCCCCCAAGCTGGCGTTCAGAAGCAATCACTTCCTACTTCTGTTTCAGAATGTTACTTTAATTAGGCAAAGATGTGTTACATTTGTTTGCACTGCATTTGTTCAATTAGAGCCAACAGCTAGGCAGGAGGCGGACAGGTGGGACTGGCAGGCATCATGAGGAGCCAAGAGAACAAGGGGGAGAGGGGGACACGCCCAGAAGCAGTGAAAGTAAGATACACAGAAGGAAAGAAAGGTAAAAAGCCCGGAGACAAAATGAAGATGGGGTTGAAGAGAGGGCTCAGAGGTTAGGAGCACTGGCTGCTCTTCCAGAGGTCCTGAGTTCAATTCCTAATAACCACATGGTGGCTCACAACCATCTGTAATGAGATCTGGTGCCCTCTTCTGACATGTGGGCATACACGCAGGCAGAACACTGTATACACAGTAAATAAATCTTAACCATAACTAGTGTCAGTGTCTTGATTTGGAAGCTGGCTGGTGACCTGCCCCCTGTAAGTCTGGTACATACTTCCATTTCATCCCCACCTCTAAACAACACACCCCCTTGCTGTCCTATCTGAGATTTTGGCCTTGTGGACTGAATGTGTGCAAGTGTCCAGGGAGGCCAGAAGAAGTCAGATCCCTGGACCTGGAGTTTCAGGTGCTAAGCAGTCGCCCAACATGAGTGCTGGGATCTCATGTAGTCTAGGCTAGCCTTAAACTCTATGTAGCTGAAGATAGCCACAGCATCTGATTTCTAAGCCTCTTCCCTGTCCCTCCAAAAGTTGGGATTAGAGCATGTGCTTGGTCACACAGGGCCAGGGCCTCATGCATGCCAGGCTCCTGTTGTAGACTCAGGACTCCTCTACAGCCCGAGCATTGCTGTCTGTATTTTAGGAACTCACCCATACATTACTGTTTCCAGAACTTCACAGAACAACCCATTCTCAATGCTGCTAGAGAATCCCAGTGGCCCCCACCCACATCAGTATTCCTCATCAGGACCCTGCTGTCAGCAGCAAAGGCCCAGTCAAGTGGCATGAAGAGTTACTCTTGGGATCTCTTTTTTCTATCACCAAAAGGCTATTGTCTTTCAATTTATTAAAAAAATCCCCTCTTTCCACTTCTGAGGCAAGGTCTTGCGAGCCTAGGCTGCCCCTGAGTGAAAGCTCTCAACTGAGGATGGCAGTTCTGGGATTGCATGCATGTGACATCCATCGCACGTGGTTTACATGGTCCTGAGGACCGGGACCGCTAGGCAGGCGAGGGCACCCTTCTCTGTAGGATGTACATTTGCTTTTTATCTTGAAATCGCTTGTCTCACACACCCGAGCCACAGAAAGGTGGGAGGAGAGAACTAACTCCATAAATTGCACTCTGACCACCTGTACAAGCCATGATATGCACAAAACTTTATAAACAAGCTGTTACTCAGTTGGTGAAGTAGTTGTTTAGCATGCTTAAAGCTCCATGTTTGACCCCAGCAATACACTTCTGTACTGGGGAACTGGAGGCAGGGGAATCTAAGTTCAAGGTCAGGTACTTAACAAGTGAAGCCAGCCTGAGATACCTGAGAGCCCCCCCAACAAAAGCAAAACCCTAAAACCTTAACAAATGGGCTGTAGCCAAACTGGGCCATTCTGTAACCTCTGCTCTAAAGAATATACTATGGGCTGGAGAGAGGCTCAGTGATAAGAACACTGCCTGCTCTCCCAGAGGACCCGGGGTTCAACTCCCAGCACCCATATGAAACTTCAGTTCTGGGTAATCTGGTGCCCTTTTCTGGCCTCCATAGACCCCAGGCATGCATGTGATTCCACACATGCATGCAGGCAAAGCATTCATACATACAAAAAAATTAAAAAAAATATATATGAAAATTTTTATGCATTTGTACTCAGTAAATAGTGATTACCTTTTTAAAAATATAGGCTGAAAAATATGAGAAAAAGTCCAGCCAGTTAAGAATTAGCAACTGAGCCGGGCGTTGGTGGCGCATGCCTTTAATCCCAGCACTAGGGAGGCAGAGGCAGGCGGATCTCTGTGAGTTCGAGGCCAGCCTGGTCTACAAAGTGAGTTCCAGGACAGCCTCCAAAGCTACAGAGAAACCCTGTCTCGAGAAACCCAAAAAAAAAAAAAAAAAAAAAAAAAAAAAAAAAAAAAGAATTAGCAACTGAAGCCGGGCGTTGGTGGCACACACCTTTAATCCCAGCACTTGGGGGGCAGAGGCAGGCGGATCTCTGTGAGTTCGAGGCCAGGCTGGATCGACAGCCTCCAAAACAGAGAAACCCTGTCTCGTAAAAACCAAAAAAAAAAAAAAAAAAAAAAAGAATTAGCAACTGAGTCAAGTGTGGTGTTGCACGCCTTTAATCCCAGCACGCAAGAGGCAGATGGATCTCTGTGAGTTCGAGGCTAGCCTGACCCACAAAGCACTTTCTAGGATCGTCATGGCTACACAGAAAAAAAAAAAAAAAACCCGTGCAGAAAAACAAAAAAACTAAAACAAACATTAAAAACCACCAAAACAAATAAACAGAGTTCCAGTTTAAAAAACCAAGAACTTGGGCTGGAGAGGTGGCTCAGAGGTTAAGAGCACTGTTTGCTCTTCCAGAGGTCCTGAGTTCAGTACCCAGCAACCACATAGTGGCTCACAACCATCTGCAATGAGATCTGGTGCCCTCTTCTGGCCTGTAGGCATACATGCAGGCAGAATGCTGTACACATAATAAATAAATTAAAAAAAAAAAAAAAAACAAGAACTAACAGTGGTTATCTGAGAGTGAGGTGTGACAGTGCATGTCTGTCACTGTAGCCCTAGGGGCAGAGGCAGGAAGGCTGCTCAGAGTTTAGAAGAGCCTGGTCTACAGTGATACAGACCGGCCAGCCAGAGTCAAGACTCCCGTTCACACAGGTCCAGCAGCCCTGAGGAAGGGCGACTGGGAACAGCTCTGTCCACTCTATTTACAAACAGAACTCTGAGGGACGGACGGTCTCACTGCATTGTAGTTGGTAGGGACCACAGCGAGGTCAATCTGTCTCCTGACTCTAAGTGGGCGGCAGTTGTTTTAAACACTTGGGCCAGGTGGATGGTTCTCTATGGAGGTCAGCTAGATCCACTGTGGCGGTATGACTATCTGCTCGGGTTAAGACTCTCCACTCCTCTTTCCTCGGGGGAAGCTGTTTGGGTGTGCGTCAGCCCCCTCTGCTGGTAGCTAGGGGGTAAGTGAGAATATGAGTCCACAGGACACCAAGCTGCTGCTCTCTTTCTCTGAGTGGCAGCTAAGGTCTCATCTCCTAGGCAGCTGAGCTCTGGCTGCAATAACCTGTCACCATCACTGCCCTGGTGAACATTCATAGTCAGACAGGACGCCTGGAGGACAAGGAATGTGTACGGTTTAGAAACCAGGAAACTGGTTCCCAAGGACTTCCGTGGTTTGTGGTGTTGGTAAAAGACATCTACCTGTAACATCAGAGATCTACATGGCTTTTACAACCACTATGAATGGGTTCAGTTACAGGATCATTTTTCCTGGTTTTGAGACGAGGCCTCTCTAGCCCTGGCTGTCCTCAAACTCAGAGGTCTGCCTCCTGAGTACTGAGATTAAAATCACCTGCCACCACGCGCTGACTTCTTCCTATTAAGTGGCGGAACACAATTCGGCATCACTCATACCACAAAAGAGGTGGCAGACGAAGTCCAACAGCTGAAAGTCTGCCTGTGTTTGTTTACTCGCTTGTAGACAGGGCTTCTCTGTGCAGCCCTGGCTGTCCTGGAACTCCATCTATAGATCAGGCTGGCTTTGAACCCAGAGATCCACCTGCCTCTGCCTTCTGAGTACCAGGATTAAAGGCGTGTACCACCACTACCCAGCGCTGCTAATGTAAAAAAAAAAAAAAAAAAAAAAGGGCCAGGAGATGGTGGCACACGCCTTTAATCCCAGCACTGGGGAGGCAGAGGAAGGTGGATCTCTGTGAGTTCGAGGCTAGCCTAGTCTACATAGTAAGTTCCAGGACAGGCTTCAAAGCTACACAGAGAAACCCTGTCTCAAAAAACCAAACCAAACAAAGACCTGGCATATGATACCTGCAACTATTAAGCATCCAAAAGCCACACTAAAGAGCGTGGTGGCTAGCACAGATGCTCAGAACTGTTCCACGTGCTAAGAGCACGCAACAGCAAGCGCTCATCATAGAGAAGACCTCGTATCAACCGCCCTAAGGCTCAGGACATCCAAGAAGGAATGGAGAGAAATGTAAGCGCTGGAAGGTGAGGGTCACTGTGAGCGCGTGTCAGCAGCTAAGACTGCCTGCTGTAACGAACTCACAGCAGCTATTGTTACCCGCACAGTATCAAAATAGTAAAAAATTCCAGCATGGAGTGGGGCAGTGGCCACAGGTAGGATACCCATGACCCCACATCCCAAACCATGCACCATGGGTAGCACTATTTAAACTCAAAGGCACGATGTTGGGATGTTGGTAAGGAGATGCGTTGGGAGGAGCTGGGGGGTGTGTTGGAGGAAAAAAATGGGAGTATGAGCAGCTACATTGTATACAAGTGAAGTTTTCAAAGACTATGT